CAGCTGGCAGTCGAGGCGTGTGCTGCCGCAGCAATTGCGCGTTGGCTTGAGAGGCGCGCGGCGATCGCCCTCTCCACAGCGCCAGCTTGTGGCAGGCCATGCAACGTAAGGCAGTGCCGCTTGGGCACAGCGACCGCAAAAGCTGCACAAGCCATTCGATGGTGTGTTGTGTGGGGCTCTTGACTGCAAGCTGCGGCAGAGCTGCAGAGGAGCCAGCTCTCGCCAAGGCAGAGTCAAAGAGGTCTCAGAGCGAGGCTTTCAGCGCGTCGACTTCTCCTGGCTGAGAAGGAGCGAGGCCGCTGCATGCGCTTCTCCGCATCGCGCATGCTTCTCCGCATGGCGAGTCGGCGGGCGGAGCTTTGGCTTTGGCTCGAGCGCTGCAACGGCGAGACGCGCCGCGTCGCTGGCCGGCAAGGGCGGTGCGGAGAAGGCCGACGAGAGACAACAGCGGCGAGGTGCCGTGCCGTGCCGTGCCGTGCCGTGCCGTGCCGTGCCGTGCCTTGCCTAGCCTTGCCGTGCGTTCGGCGCCCGTGCAGCGGTACCCTCGTTGCTTGTCTGCGCTCTGGGGGAGCGGCGCATGAGCGGCACCGCTGCCTCATCCTTCGCCCTCGCAGCATTCCACCACCACCTTCATCACCACCACCACCACACACTCACCCCACCCGCCACTGCACACCCCGTCTCTTCACACACGTTTTGCGCGCGCCGCCATGCCGCCCAAAGCCAAAGACTCGCCGGCGCGCAAGCGTGTGCCCAAGGAGCCAAAGGAGCCAAAGGAGAAGGGCGCGGGCAAGGCGAAGAAAGACAGGGTTGAGGAGAAGGCTGCCAAGGAGGAAGAGGCAGGTGAGTGCTCTCGTCGAGCTCGGCGCTGCATTGGAGAGCCGAAGTGCCACTGCCGAGGCGTCTGCGTGGCTGTGAGACGCTCGAGGCGTGCGTAACAAGAGGGCGTCAGGGGCTGTTCCTTCGTGAGAGCATAGCTCTCCGGCCCGACGACGGCGTCAGGTACATAGCACCAGCTAGCAGCGCCGCCGCGACACCTCTCTCGCAGCAGCGTGAGGGTCTCGTCTTAGCCTCTGCACCTCTCTCTCTCTCTCTCTGCCATCTGCGCTGCGCTGGCGATGGCCTCCCTCTCTCCTCTCCCGGCACGCACCGGCGGGCGTTCCCGCAGCGGCACGCTGCGACCTCCTGTGCCTTCTCGCCGTGCGCCCGAGCCGCCTCTCAGCGCGCGCAGCTTCAGTGCCGGCACTCGCAGCGTCTCGCCCGCGTCTCCCTCTCCCGCTTCTTCCGCCAGTGGCTCCGCGCCTGCTTCGCCGCTGCCAGCGTCGTCCTACCGGCGACCTGCTTCTTCGCCTGCTTCGAGTGCTGCAGGAGTGCTGGGCTATCGCCGTCCGACGTCTGCCTCCTCTTCCTCTTCGCGCTTCGCCAGACTGCCTCCTTCGCCTTATCTCGATGCTCACTCTCATTCCCGCGCCGCCTCTCCCGACGCGCGCGCAACACCAGCGACGCCGCCTTCCAAGCGCCGCACCAGCGGCGCGTCCTCAGGCACAGCCAATGGCGCTCGCGGCACAGCGGAAGACTCGTCTTCGGAAACAGAAAACGAGGGCTTCGAGGACGCTCAGTCCGTCGACGTCTACGCCGACGAGGATTCGCACAGCGTAGGCGCACCCAGTTCAGCCACAAGTCACGCGAGCAACCTCTCCGAGCTGGGCGCCGGACCCCGTGCGCCGAGTGCCGCGGCGGCGGCGCAGCGCAAGAAGGAGAGGAGAGTGAGCCTGGCTGCCGAACTGGCGATGGCGGACACTTCGACGGAGATGGAGGAGAAGGAAAAGGAGGACAGGGAGAAGGCGGAGAGGGAAGAGGAGGAGCAAGTGAGGCAGGACATGGCCGATCTGGACCTCTCCAAATTACCGCCTCCTCCCTCGCACGACGACGCCGACGATGCCCACCCTGCTGCTGCGGCAGCGTCGGCAGCGTCGACGGAGTCAAGACCTGCACTGCCCGTGCGGACGGCCACTCTTTCGCCACTCGAAGGGCGCAAGTCTCTGTGGGAGCGTCTGCGCTCCGCCTCGGGCGACACGCCTTCCCCTGGCGGCAGTAGCTCGGCCTCTGGCGGCGGCGCCTCGCCAGCTGCCTCTCCCTCTCTTGCCTCTCCGAGCGGCGGCGGCGTGCCGGCCTCTCGTCCCGCCGCGCCCTCCAAGCGCCCTACCTTCGGTGCGCTGCCCTCGTTCTCCTCCCTTGCAGCCGCGGCAGCTGCCGGACTGGGAGCGCGGCGTGCGTCGGAGACCTCGACGCAGGAAGCCGTGGAGAGACAACGCCTGCCGCGCTTCGGCGTCAACGAGAGTCAGCTTGCGGAAGACGCGATGCGCTTCATTGATGCGCGAGATGTGCTGTACAACGAGAAGGATCCGGAGCGGATCAGGGAACTGGGCATGAGGCTGGAGAGTGGCTGGCGAGAGAAGGTGAGTCAGAAGAGCGAACAATGGAGGGGAGGGGGGCGGCTGAAGGAAGCTGGAGGGCAGAGCTTTGCATCTGCGGGGCTCTCTGCTGATTCACGTTCCTCGCACCAACAGCTGCAAGAAATCTCTCTGCTGCACTCCAAGCTCGAGGCGCTGCAGCACGCGCTCTCGGACGTCGAGGATGAAAACGCGACGTTGCGCACCTCCATCTCTGCGCTGTCGGAGCAAGTGGCCTCTCTCGAGTGCGCCTTCGACTCCTTCCAGCACGCCACGATCGAGCAGATGCGCCGCGAGCGCGAGCTGTGGAGCGAGGAGCGCCGCGAAGAGCTGGAGCGCGTCCTCTACGCCGCCGCGGCGGCGCGCCGCGAGGCCGAGGCGGCAAAGGCCGTCGTGGCGCAGCTGAGGCTCGTGCTGCTGGGAGCGGGCATGCGGGGCGATGTGGATATTGCGGGCATCGAAAGGGCGATTGAGGCCCTCTCGAAAGGCCTGCCTTCCGACGCTGACGAGCCAGCTTCCGCCACGCCCTCGGGAGCATCGGAGAACGACGAGGAGGCGCAGGAGAGGCGAATGGCCTCGGCGATGCTCTTTGACGTGCCGCTCTCTCCGGGCGCCGAGTCGAGGAGACAGTCGATGCTGTTCGACCAGCCGGTCAGCCTGGCCCATCTGCGCCTGCTCGGTCTGGCACCGCCGAGCGACGGCGCCACGCCCTCTTCGCCCTCCTCAAGCAGCACCGATCGCACCTCTCTCGCCTCTCTTCCCCCCACGCCCCTCTCCTCGACCCCCTCTCACGCCGCCCTCGAGACGCTGGCAAGGCGCAAGGAGGCGGCCGACGAGGCGTTGGCGCGCGCGCTGAGAGAGGAAAACGAGAGGCTGAGGACGCAGATGAAGGAGCGCGAACGCAGATTGGCCAGCGCGCAGAAGGAGGTCGAGACGCTCAAGGAGAGAGTGAGGGACACGGAGGCGGCCGTCGAGGGGCTCTTTGCGGCTGTATGAGGCGCCCTCGGAGAGGGATTGGGGGGGAGGGGGGGGGAGGGGGGCAGAGGAGAAAGCCAAATGTCACATGCTTCATGCCTCAACCCAGCTCAGTTGCCGTCGCGCGAGCCGACCGTCTTTTGAGCGCAAGCGTCTTGACCTTTGGCGTGCGCCTCCCGTGAATGACTGCTTGGAGCGCAGGTGCACGTTGGACGTCTGCTCACGAAGACGTTGCAGCTCCGGCACGGCCATGGCCATGATGCTGTTCTTGCATCTCCCCCTGGTGCGCGGGCGACAGGGTAGTTGGGCGGAAGCGGTGCCAGGTCTTGCCGCCGTATCTGCATAGGGAAGGCGTGCGAGATGCAGGTAACCCCCCCCCCCCCCCCGGCGGAGGGTTGCGCAGCACTTGACTCACCCAGATGCTGACGCCGGCAGCGGCAAGGGCGGCTACGGGCAGTGCTCCTCAGGCGCAGGCTGAAGAACAGCGGCGCCGCAAGTAGCGGGCGCTGACGACGGCGTCTCGAACACGTCAAGGTAGCGCTTGCTCTTTCCGGCGCTGCGCAGACGGCGCCACACCGAGCCGTCTCTGGCTCGGCGCGCACGACGACGAGCCACCAGAAGGGCGCAGCCATCAAGCCGGGCCGCGGGCAGCGCCGTCGTGTTGGCTATAGCGGCGGCGTCTGTAAGCATCAACGCGCAGATTGCGCACGCCGAGAAGAGCATCACGAAGCGCAAGCCCGGCGCCAAGCTGCACTGCCTCAAGGCCTCTGCTCGAACGCTCTCTTGCCAAGCACAACGACGCCGCCGCGGCAGAGGTGCAGGCGTGCATCGACCTGCGCCAGCAGCGCACTACAATCTGTCAGCGTGCAACAAAGCAGGCATAGAACGCCGAGGGCGGCTGCTGCCCGCCAGGTCCCCTGGTGCAGAGCGTGCCGCAGCATGCGGCGCAGGCGCAAGCCACGCAGATCCTCCAGAAGGCTCCAAAGCAGGGCGATGGGGCCGGGGGGCAAGAAGCGTGACGCACCTGGCGGTGGCGTTTGCTGCTGGCCGCCTTTGAAGGCGCCCACGTTGCGGTCATGTTGCGCTGCGGAATACAAGGACGCACGCCTTCAGTCAGGTACACCAAGTTCCCGGACCGTGCCGCAAGGGATCACGGTGCGCTCAACGGCCAGGCAGTGGTGCGCCAGCCGTGCCCTCAAGGGCAACACGCTTCTGTGCGTTGAGCGACACGCTCTGCAGCCAGGGAGGTCAGCAGGGCAGCTCTTCGTTGCGCATGACATCCTGCCCACGAGCCATTGAGGAACGCCGAGATGTGTAGCATCATGATGGTCTGAGGAATGGGTGGGTTCCGGCGCAGTTTGCGCTGTCGGCACTGCCCTTGCAGACACGAGTGCGGCGCATCGGCTCTTTGCAGGCGCTCCTCCACGCCGCGCCCGCCTGCGCCCCGCACTCGGCTCCTTCCAGCTGAGCCTCGCCGTCCCGAGCACGCTTGTCTCTTCGATGTTTGCATCTCGTCTCATTCCGGTTTTTCGCGCAGTGCGGGGCTGCAAGCATGCCTAGGCCCGCGCCTGTCGATGAAGCAGCGTAGCATCGTCGACTTCGAGCTCTGATGGGCTGGATCTAGTCGACGCGCACCGCCGTGTACATGCGCCGCACCGCAAAGAAGCTGGCTGCCCAGCCAATCGTGCCTGGCGGAGGAGGGTCGAACAGCAGGAGGGAAGAGGATGAGATGCGCTCAGGGAGGCGGAGGGGAGAAGACACACACGCACCAAAGAGCAGGAAGTTGAGCAGCGTCAGGAGGGAGAGATAGCCGAGGAAGAGAATCTTGGTCGAGAGGCCGGGCAACGAGAGACGCGTGGCCCAGTAGAAGAGCTGGGGGGGGGTGGGGGGGGGGGCGGGCGAAGACCAGTCAGTCCGACAGTCCCCCGCGAGCCCTCGACTCTCTCCAACTCACGCCGTAGGTGAAGAGCCAGAAGGAACTGCCGCCGCCCGTGAGGAAGGCGCGCCAGTGCCAGCGGTAGTCTTCGGCACAGAGGGCAAAGTAGGTGTAGAGGATGGTGACGGTGGCCGTGGTGAGGGCCGTGACGAGAAAGGTGAGGGCCAAGAAGCCAAATGCCACGTAGACTGGTGGCGTGCGCTTGTAGTCAGCGAAGAGAAGCGAGAAAGAGGGAGAGGGGGGAACTCACCGCGTGAGCCGAAGAGCGAATTCAGCATAAAGTACAGCTCCAGGAAGACGGCGGCAAAGGGCAGCACGCCGGCCATGAGCGCCGCCGGCAGCGGCTGCAGGTACCACTGCGCCGGCGGAATCTGGCGGGGAATGGCATTGACGCGCGTGGGCGCGCGATAGCCGCCGTGGCGGATGCCGAGGAACGCGCCCGCCAGCGTGAGGGGCAGCGAGATGAGGAACCAGAGCGCCACGAGCGCCAGGAGCGTGCCAAAGGGGATGGCGCCAGAGGAGGAGGAGACGAGCAGGAAGAAGTTGATCGCTCTTAGCGGTGAGGGTGAGGAGTGAGTAAGTTTCGAAGCCCAGGTTGGGGGGGGGGGGGCAACTTACAGAATGGAAGCGAAGACGACGGCCGGAAAGCACGTCGCCGTCAGAGCGACGCACTTCTTCCACTCCTCTCGGCCAAAGGAAATGTGCAGGCGCGTGGCAAAGTATCCGGCGAGCGACGCAAAGAGCGTCCACGCCACGACCATCGTCGTGCCCAGCGCGCCGCGGTTGGAGGGCGAGAGAAAGCCGAGGAGCGCAAAGAGCAGCGTCACGGACGCCATGCCGAGCAGCTGCGCGCCCGTGCCGACCATGACGCAGAGCAGCAGCGGCCGAGTGGGCGACCGGCAGACGTCGGCGTGGATCAACTTCCAGCCGTACTCTTCCTGTTTCGGCGCGCGCACGAGAGAGAGAGCGTCAGGGCTGGGGCCTGCAGGCCTTGAAAAGGCAAGATCATTGAGATCTCTCTCTTACCTGGACATCCTCATCCAGGTCAATCGCATTGTATCGGCTAATGTCGCGCTTGACGCTGCGCGTGAGGATCATCGCCACCTGTGTGTGGCGGGCAGAGGGGGGGGGGCAATCCTACGGTTTCAGCTTCTGCCCCCTCCAGCTTGCCACTGCCCCCATCGCCACGACGGGCAGGATGGCGGGCAGTGAGAGAGATGGAAACAACGCACCATGACGATGAGGAACACAACCACAATGACACTGTTGCATAGCGCAAAGAAGTGGATGCGCGGATCGACTGTTTGTTTTTCGTGGTGCGCAAGCACGCAAGAAACATGGCCACACGCGCTCTCAGCCGGGGCGGGCACGCGAAGCCGGCACGGCCCAGGGCGGAGACTCACAGACACGAAGATAGTTGTCCCAGCGCGTAGCCCAGGGCGTGGCGCTCTCCTTCCAGTACGTATTCATGCTGCGTTGTTTTTGGCGAGGCGGAGCGGGCGTCAACTCAAGTTCAGTCGGTGTTGGCGGTTGACTTTGTCCTCTTCTCTCTTCCGCGGCCGAGGCGCGAGAGAGAGAGGGAGACAGGGAGAGCAACACACAACTCACGTATAAGCGACCTTTCTCTCCCCTCCTCCTTCTGCGCCCGAGCCGGGGCCGAGAATCATCATTTTATCCGTCTTGCAATCGATGTCGCCGTTGCCCTTGAGCGAGTCGCGGCTCCACGGAAACACCGTGGCGCCGACGATGCGGTATTCCTTGTCGCTGCGCCGATGGTACTCGAGGTACACATCAAAGTGGTTGTGCAGTGCCGGCGAGGGCAGCGGCGCCATGTAGTCGTCGAACAGACGCCCTAGAGGGAAGCCGATTTGATAGTCTGTTTGCGCAGAAGGATGAACGAAGAATTCGCCATCTTAGCTGTACGCCAGAGTCGCGCAAGGGTAGGCGGAGGGAACGTACAAGTCTCATGTGTGCGATCCGCCACGCGCTTCGTAGCGACGGGCAGGCCGTCGACGAGCCAGTTGACGGCGTACTGCTGCTCGATGACG